TATGGCTACAAAATGACCCTCATGGTAGCTCCATACGGTGATGCAGAAGGTGAAGAGTTTAAAAAAAGATAATGTGGTCCTTATAGTACAGTGTAGTCTTACAGTCACTCGACGATACATCTCTGTGTACACAGCAATAGTCAAAAGCGACTATGATGCTATACAGTATTGGCCTTTTGCACTTCCAATAACATTCACTCTAATGGCAGCGGATCCCAGAAAGAATTGTGAGTAATACACTCGAAATGTATTCGCAAAAAAATGAATAAATCCATAAATTGCAGTAGAGAAGGTATTCGTTCCAAATCCTACGCCAGAAAATGAGGCATTTCTGGGAAGACCCAAAGGCGCTCGCAATGCTGCCTTTGGAATTCAGGTTCGCACAGTAGGAAGGAAACAAAGAAGCAGAGTCTTCTTCTCGTTTTTGTTAACTCTAACTAGGTTGTTTTACTTTTAGCGAAAAATCGCAAAACTCTGCTTCTCTGCATTCTAAATAACAGCTGCAATTGCGCGACATTCGCAAATTGTAATTTTCAGCGTTTTTGCGAGTTGATGGAGTTGGATAATTACACTATTCGAAATGACTTATTTATTGGCGTCTTTGTGGACTTGAGCACGCTGCAACATGCTCGGCGAGTGCCCTCCGATCAACTTACAAAAGTTGGATAGAATTACGGTTGCGGAGTTAGTCTGTACTTACGTATTAGTTGTACGTAGACTAGTAGAGCAAAAACAATTAACGAAATCAATCAATGGAACTTGATGTATGCGTCAATAAAGTAGTGCTATGCAACTGATTTTCATTGGGACACGTGTTAGTACGCAGAAGATTTTTGAATAAAACCGCACCGCACTCTGCACTTAATCATTGCGGCTCGCCGTTCTATTAGTGAAACATATTCTAATATGGAGTGACAGAGACCATACTATCGCATTGGGCGGAGTCTGTCCCAGTTTCGTGGATGGGCATCTCTAATGGTACTTGTATGCAGACTTGTCTAAGCTGCTATATACAAGACAAAGGAAACAATGTTAAATTCGAATGCAGTTTTTGTTTTGTTTTAGGATATGAGTCCATTCAATATATCGATTAAAACAGATGATTTTGAAATAGTAACTTTATCTTGAAAACGTCAACATAGCATCATGTCAATAACACTTACACCGTATTATAGCAACAATATGCAATACGAACTTTTATGTATACAATATAAACTAACTATAAAAGTGAAGAATATCGTAGTCACGCATTACAGTAGGACGATTCGAGCAAATCCATATGTGACTTTTTCGTTTTGTCATTTTTGATAAACATGTAGAAGTGGCACCATAATAATGCTGAGCATAGTATTGTCAATGCTGCAGCGAATACCAGAAATAGTACGGCACTGAAAAGTTTGACGATTGTGGTAATTTCATCTTTAATCTTGGGTATCGTGACTGGCTGCTATAATAGACTATTCAAAGCTTTTCTGACAATTTGATTAGGGCAGCCCACGAATATTTAACAACGCGAGGAGAATGAAGATACAAAGCATATTTGAAAAGAAAGACACGTTACAATTTT